TATATTGATAACCTCTGGTTACCAAGGCTCTTTGAATGATACCAATAAGACCACAAATTCAAATAGTGGACTTTGAAGAACATTCAGACACCACCTTCGAACCACGATCCACGCCTATCTACACCTCCTTTGAAACGATCTGGGAATCCGAGCTAGCCGATATTCCCCTTTTCGAAGAAGACGAACCTTCTTGGTTCACTTATCCAGAAGAGTGGGGGGAACCCGAGTTCTTCCACTACTACCTGGACAACCCTGACTGGGAACCTTACGAGGAACCCACCTGCGATACAACGTATAACATCGAAACCTACTTTTTTTACCAAAGCGAAGACGGATACAAGGGATCGTTGGCTCCTTAGGCGTTGGAAATTGAGCTCAGACACCAACGCGAACTAAACGAGGAACAATATGTCGGACATTCCTCAGATCACGGAGAGTGGGGAACCCCACGACATTGACATGACCGAGTCGCCCTCAAAAGCTCCAAGGAAATAGAGTAGTTTATTTCCGAGAGGATCAACTGATCCCTTTTCACGAGACCCCTTCAGCGGCCCAATGGGAGGTGGAGGACGAGCCCCCCCTAACCCCTTCTCCAAGGAGCAAAGATTTAAGAACTTTGCAACCCTAGTAGGAAGAGTAACGGCCCAGCTAGACCGAACTATCGCTAAGACCCAAAACGACCAGCAAGTCGCATACGCAGCCTTGACTGAAGCTGGAAGGGGAATTGCCGATGAGCTGGCCGGGGTAAAGAAACGAGTGGATCAAGGTGAAAAGTTCATGGGAGACGAACTCACCCGGTTGGAACGAGCAGCCCAAGGGTTGCAAAATGATGTGGTGACGGAGTTGGAAAGCTACCATCTGAAGGTAGCTGAGGAAATGGTCCGATCAAATCTGGCCCAGCAGGAGCAGTCTCGGAAGACTGCTCGATTAGAACGCGAGGGAGCAGAACGCAGTGTGGATGCAATGGAAAGAGATAATACCTTGGCTCAAATGATTGAGCAACTGAAGGAAGACAGGAAGGCCGATCGTAGGGCTTTCGAGAAATTTCAAAGCAAAACTGCGAAGGACTACAAAGACCTAACGGATGGTCTCAATGACAAATTGGCTGAATACGTTGCCAATACCGAACGACACAGAGAATGGGAAAACGGAAGACACGACTCTAGAAAGAGGGAATTAGAGGACTTGTCAAAACGATTTGATAGGTTCCAACGGGATGTCCTTACCGAAGTGGTTAGTGTCAGGACGGATATGAGCAAAATAATCGCCGACCAGGTGACTCTGGCATTGGAAAGAAGGTTTGGAAAGGCCCCGCAAGGTTAAACAACACTACCGAGAAACCAAGGTTTCACCCCCCTACCGCTCCCAAGCCCTTATGGAGGAGCCTCCTATGCCGGAACAATTGCCGGTATGGAAGCCGACCGCCAAAGTGCGGAACCACCTCCAGTCCCTCCTAAAAAGGACCCAAATGGCGGCGGTGGACCTCCTGGTGGCGGCAGTGGACCTCCTGGTGGCGATGGTGGACCTCCTGGCGGAGGCGGTGGACCTCCTGGCAGAGGCAGTGAACTACCGGGTCCAGGCGGACCGGGAAACGTACACTTTGAGGCTGAGGAGTGGGCAGCCTTGATGACCCGGGCAGTAGCTGGAGCCAGTTGAAAACCAGCCGAGCTGCCATCCTACTTCGAAAACCATGAACAACAGAAAGTGGAAAACTGGTTAACCTCATGTGAGGATTATTTTCGAAGGAACCCACACCATTGGGAGGCGGATCATGATAGGATCATATGCGCCCTAAACAGGACAAAGGGGAAGGAATTAGCACCCTTCACAGAATGGTATAGGAACGCCATGGATGGGCTAGCGGGCCAAGAAAGACGTGAGGAGCTAAGACTGTGGGAAAACTTCCATTCGGAAATCACACAGCGATTTTGCCCTTACAACGAAGCTCGAAAAGCTTTAGCTGCAATGGCTAAAATCCCCTACCAGAACAACATCGATGCCTACATTACACGGCTCGAGTTGCTCAACATCAAAGGCAAAATGAAGGGGCAGAGTTGGAGACAACTGGTGGAAAGCAAGTTACTACCGTCCATCCTCCTCAGGATGTCATATGAGCAGGCCGACTCAGATGACCAATGGATAAAACAGCTACGAGCTGTAGGCAATAACGACAAGGAATTCAAGGAGCGACTCCGTCTGAAAAGCGGAAACTCTACGACGACAATTCCAAAACGGAAGTTTGGAAGCGGGGACAGGAGTAGCCAACCAAGAGGAAAGGCTAAGACTTGGTCCCCACCTAAGCGAAATAAAAAGGGGAAATGGAAACCCGTGACCACGAACTCGTCCCTGACGAAACGAGTACACACCGATTGGAAATCGGCACACGAGGGAATTCCTCAAGAGGTTATCGACTCACGGCGCAAGAAGGATGGCTGCACGCGCTGTGGACTCACAAATCATTCATGGGGAAATTGTCGAAAGGCCGCCGCGGTAAACCAAATTACTGGGCGCAGGATCGCAGTCCCGAGGACCCGACAAGTAGAAGTCCACCCAACACCTGCGAGTGGAAAGGTGGGCCAAACTCGAGCAAACCCAGCACCTCAGATTTGGGAACAGACTTCGGATTAAGCGAGGGTATAGAACCGAAGTACACGGCAACGGTGGAGCATCTGGACGAGAGAAGCGCACTCTGCATAGGATGGTCAACAAGACGAAGAAATACGCGTTCTTGCTTTGGCAGTACATCTCTCCCCGACCTATGAATAGATGCTCTCAGGAACGCATTATGCAAGAATGACGCAGAAGCGCACTCCAAGCGAAAGCGCCAAAGGATGCAAAGTGCTTCAAGGGTGTTAACGACTAGATTATGCCCTTGGTTATAGTGGGATGCACATCCTTTGGAGGCCTCTACAGGTGTTGCATGTGAAAACGTTGGAGAGGAAGATCAGGGGTATAAACCAGATAGTGCGCACCTATCGAACCAGCTAGACAGGAGTCCAAGCTGGCTGGACGCAGCCTGATATGAGTTGAAACTGGCGATAGAGCGCTCAGCAAGGTTATGCAAT